AGTCGTTCTTGGAAGTTTCCTACAGCACGATCACACATATGGCGAGGTATGGCCATAACCTCTGCTGCAGTAATCCGTTCCCTTAGCTGTGGTAGGGTATGAGGGCGACTTCTGAACACTCTTTCTTTTAGATGTCGCCAAACAAAGAAATCGCAAATGCTCAAATCAGGTGACCTCGCAGGCCACTGTAAATCACCCCACATAGACACCAGACGTCCGAGAAACATGCGTTTCAAAACATTGAGTGACATTCTGGCTGTGCTGTGTGAGCTGTAGCCCCATCCTGCTGGAATCACACATCTCCCAATGTTTCATTTTCAACAATGTTTTCCATCCTGGGCTGCAAGAAATTTTGCAACATTGCAGCATAGCGATCGGAATTGACTGTCACGGTTACTCCCTCCTCTGAGAACGACTCCAACAGTGTGTTGCAGCTAACAGCCCCCATCTTCCAGACATTGTTTTCAAAACATAAGTATTCTAAATGGTATGCCATGCTAACCTCTAGCAAAATAAACTTTCTTCTTCATGGACCTCCATTATTCTTTTATTTTGCCTTAAAACTGCTCAATCGGTTCTGCCCCACCCTGTATATTCAGAGGTTGAGATTATATTGACCCTTTAGGCAATTAGAAAGATTTTCCACCCTAATACGAGTATTCTAATTAAAATATATAATTTCAATCTTTATATATGTGAATTTAAAACTGGAAACAAAACAATTACATGTATATAACTATATATAAATAATTAAATGCAGTGAATGGAAATAAAATGGTTGAATTGTGCACATATTTATTTCAAACAGTGTTAGCTTTTCTCATAACTTAACACGTTGACAACGATTGCTTCATCTTGTACTATTATTTCATTTTTTGTACTGTTTTTAAACAGGGTTGCCAGACGGTCATTTTTTCCGGACAAATTCCGAGATTTAGTTTTTCTCAATTGCGTTGGACGGCTACAATTTATGATAGGGGTAATTCCTAATTAAATTTTAAATACTGCAAAAAGAAAATAAATGGAATTTTTATAGTGTAACCTACAAATAAGCTAGTATATTTTGAGTTATCGGCCTTTTTTGGCCTTTTTTCTTCTCCGATTTGGCCAATTTTAGGCTCCCTGAATTATGTACCACTACGTCCTGGAGAAATACATTTCGTGGTGCGCATATGTACCACTTCGTAGTCAACGTTTTAAGTCTCGTTTCAAGTCATTTGAGGTTTTTTTGGTTATCGTTCAGTTTATGTTTAGTATTGGTTTATTGGTTTGAATTAAATGGGAACAGTGCAGTCAGTCACTCAGTCACTGTACTAGTTGGTGTGTTTAGAGGGTAGAGTCTGGTACATTTATAGGACATAAAACTAGTAGATCTATTGATAGTGTTGTGCACTGTGCTATCAGCTACCTATCTGTTACTGTTATGTGACTCTTCAATGTTTAGAAGATCTGCATTCCTGAAGTGTTTTTGTATATTGAAGCCAGTTAAATGGTCAATATTTAGCTCATTACTTTGCTCCATACAAACTTTACAAAGCTAATGAATAGACTTA